TGACCCGAACAGGACCGGGACGTGTCCGGGATCGACCTTCATCCCGGACCGAACCGGACCGGGACAAGTCCGAGATGAAAGACAGTCCCGGACCAGGCTCGAAGGCTTCAATCTTGGATGCAATCAGTATTCAATCTCGAACCACTGAGGTCCGGGATTAAATACAAGATAGAATCCGAGATTAAAGCAATCTCTGGATTTTTTATTCTGCTACAATCACAACGTCAAACTAAACCTAAATCTATAAGGCTGCTTCAGATAGCGTTGGTCATGCTAATACAACAAAGAATAGCAACTTTCGTTACATTGTAAAAGATAGCAACTAACATTGCAGTCTCTTATATGAATCCGACGCTTACAGATGAGTGCGAAAGAATGATCTTCAGAAAAAATGGATGAGTACGAAAGAATGCTCTTCGGAAAGAATGGATTCTCCAAGACGGGGATTCTCCGAGATTGGGGTTTAGGGTTTTACTTGGGATGAGAGTGCCACGAAACGTCTGAGACGAAGGATGGGGAGGGAGGGGATGAATTTTTTTAAAATAGGGGTACAATGGTAATTTCATTATATCATATTTTGAGAGGGGTCATAATTAATAGAGTATGGGGTTACAAATTAGGTTTTTTGAAAATGTGGTCATTTATCCAATTTCAGTTATTGAAGGGGTTACCAAGTCAAATTTTCCGTTCAATTTTGTATGTGGATTTACAACTTTATAGATTCATCAAATAAAAAATTGAAAAATTTGTAAAATATTAAGTACAAAATATAAAAATTCGAAAACTTACCAAAAGTCTAACAAAATATTGATATTTTGGAGAGGGTGGAATTTTGAGATATTTATTAGTGTTCTGAATAAAAAATAAGAAAAAAAAAGTGAAAGAAAGATGGATGGTATAAAATGGGATTGGAGACTACAAAATCCACACAATTGAAATTAAATTGAATTTCCATTGTTGTTGAATCGCGATGCTTATCTTAAATCTCTCCCCCAAAATCCACACAATTCATGCTGCCTTCTTCGCATCCCCAATTTCGTCTCCCAAGAACCCTAGAAGAAGATTCAGATCCCAAATCCAATTCAGAACACGGCGGCGACGCATCATCACCGCCCAATCCAACGGCGACGACACGTCCGCCGACGGCCCCGACCGCCTAATCTCCGCCATCTGCTACTTCTACCCGTTCTTCGACGGCGTCCAGTACGGCAAGTACGTAATCACTCAGTACGCTCCGATTCAGGTTCTGATTCAGCCCTTGGTTCCCGCGATTAGAGTTTTCAAGAGCTTTCCGTTGAATGGATTTCTGGTGTTTTTGACTCTCTATTTCGTCGTCGTTAGAAACCCTAATTTCAGTAGGTATGTGAGGTTCAATATTATGCAAGCGATTGTTCTTGATGTGCTGTTGATTTTCCCTGATTTGTTGGAGAGGAGCTTTAATCCGAGTGGGGGATTGGGGTTGGATTTGGTCATGAGTTTGGACAGTACTGTGTTTCTGTTTCTTTTGGTTTGTTTGATTTATGGATCTTCTTCTTGCTTGCTGGGCCAGATCCCTAGATTGCCCATTGTTGCAGAAGCTGCAGATAGGCAAGTTTTTTAGAGAAGTTCCTCTCTGAGTAATTTGAGCCTCTGTTTTTCTCCCTTCCACGGCTGCTCTGTTGGAGAAAAATTTGTAGATGAGTTTACTTACTGTTCTACATCTCTGTGTTCTTCCAAATCTTACTGAAAGGAATGAAATCCTTGAGGAAAAACAAGTTGGAAATGATCTTCAATGTCCATTTTTTGTTTTCTGTACTGAAAAATCTTAGAGGCAAGTGTTCTGATAAATTTAGTTCAGGGGAAGAGCAAATTAACGTGTAATATGTTGAATTGTTTATGATTATTTGCATTTTGCAAGCTATATGAGCATCCTTTATAATCTTATTATTGTTTAGGATATTGATTCTTCTGGCCGATGTTATTTAGTTTGGTTTAGACATCTGAGTTTAGGAGATTTTTTGTATACCTGATTTTGGGGTTTGGCTCGGCTGCTTTCATGATTCGGATTGGAGATTTTTATGATTTAATTTTGTGGGGTTTATTAGTTCATTTGTAAACTAATTTCTAATTTAGTTTTAAAAATTTATTAATTTTACTACTTATTAAGGTTACTGAAAGAGTTTGTTAAGTTAATTGATTATTATTATTTTTGTTTTCAATTAGTCTTTAAACTTCCAAAAAATCTATTTTTGACTCTTGCTCGTTTAGAAGTATGTGGATCAAATTTGAAGATTTAGGAAACCAAACAAGAAAACCAAAACCAAAAATCTAACTGATGGTGGTTTTGTTACTATTGGTTTTTGGATAATTTACGTGGGTGGCTAAATTTTGACACTCATTTAAAAAATGTCCCTTAATTTTTAATTTTGCAAAAATGACTGACTAAATGATATAAATATTAAGAGTTTTACAAAGTGATTTTCCCACCTGGTCTTTTTTTTCATGTTTTCTGGATTTTCCTTATATTCAACCACCTAACAAACTTTGTTTTGAATTCAAATTGTGTTTCCTACCTTTAGGGATTTTAAGTTAATTATTTTAATTCTTTTGTTTTGAATTTCAGATAATTTAAATGATTTACCGGTGTTGTACGGTCTCCCATCTCATCTTTTTATCATTGTTCTAATATATCTTCTTCTTCTAAGCTGCCTCTTTCTCCCTATCATTTGAAATCAAATTGTGTATTATCATGTTTGTCCTTTTATTTTATTGTTTTATCCCTGACCTTCTTTATAACCTCATTCTTAACATGAACTTAAAAGTCTTGAAGTTAGTACCTAGTATTACCAAAGTTAAGTTTTAATAGTAAGATTTGCTTACCTTCTTTAATACCACATTTCCGACAACTCAAGCGTATGGACTACTTGAGACACTAGCTACTAGGGGTGTTCACGGGTTGGGTTAGGTCAGGTTAGGGACATTTTTGTGACCAACCTTAATTTTCGGGTTGACCATATATGAGAATCGATGGGGCTCAAAATCAATGGCCAACCCAACCTAGCCCGACCCAAAATTTTCGAGTTGGGTTGGGTCGTGTTGTCGGGTTGCCTTATTATTATTATTTTTTTACTTTGCATTGATAAAATAACAGAAAAATGTAATCTGAAGCTATCCTCATGACGACAATGGCACCGTCGGATCTGTAACTTTACTTGCAGTGGCAAAGGATGGCTACGGATGGGCTTGAAATCGATGGCCAACCCAACCCAGCCCGACCTAAAATTTTCGAGTAGAGTCGGGTCGGATTGTCCGGTTGCCTTATTATTATTATTATTATTATTTACTTTGCATTGAAAAAATAACAGAAAAATGAAATCTGAAGCTATCCTCACGACGGCTAGGGGTGTTCAAACAACCCGGTAACTCGAAGAACCTGAACAAACGGTTTGGGTTGGGTTGATTAAATTTTTGGTTTGGGTTGAGTTCAAAAATTTTTAAACCAATCGGTTCAGTTCGGTCTCGGGTTTAAAAAAAAAAATTTCGGTTCAACCCGAACCAAACTGACTTTATATATTTAGGTTTAGGGTTACATCTTTTTCTTTTTTGTTTTTTGTGTGCTGCTTTTTGAACCCAACCGGTTCGGTTCGATCTCGGGTTTAAAAAAGAAAATTTCGGTTCAACCCGAACCAAACTGATTTTATATATTTAGGTTTAGGGTTACATCTTTTTTTTTTTTTGGTATGTTGCTTCATGCACTCCACCCTTTCTCTCATCTCTCTCATCACCTCCTTTTGATATCTCATCCCCATCCCTCCATCTCTCAGTTTCCCTCTCTTTCAATCTCACTTCTCCCTCTTTCACCTCTCCTTCTCTTTCAATCTTGTTTTACTGTTTGAAATCTTGTCGTGTCGTTCTTCTTTCGGGAAAATCCTTACTCTATGTAGGATACACTCGTCGTCATCGGAAGTCATCTATTCATCGCTTGTATCCGTGCTCCATAGATTTGTTCGTCATTGTCGTGACCATGATTTACTCGTCCCCATAGTGAAGCAGTTTCTAATCTACTTGTGACCCACGAATCTGTCGCTGCTCGTCCCCATCGCCACCGCGAAGTAACCCGACAACCCAACTCAAAATTTTTGGGTTGGGTCAGGTTGGATTGACCATCGAAATTGGTTACATCGGTTCTTTAATTTAGTCAATCCGAAAATTCGGTTGGTCCAAAATACTCTCTTAACCCGACCCAACCCAACTCGTGAACATCCCTAACGGTGGCAACGGCACTAGCGGATCTGTAACTTTGCTTGCAGTGGGAGCGGATGGCTACGGGCCGACGACGGATAGATCTATAGCTTTGCTCACGACAGTGGTGAGGCTACGAGCTGCGAAGAACTGAAATGGCTCAGGGTGGACGGAGGATGGACCTGCGACGAGCCTACAGGTGGTGAAAGATCAAGATCTTCAGTGGCTCCCTTTGACAAGAGAACGACTCACGGCGGACGGATCTTCAACAAATCATGAGCTGCTACAGCGGCAAGGTTCTGACGACGATTCAAGAGGGAGAGAGGCAATGGCTCACAGCGGACATATCTTCAAGAAATCATTGGCTGCTACGGCGGCGAGCTCCGTCGACGATTCAAGAGGGAGAGAGGCAATGACTCATGGCAGATGGATCTTCAACAAATCATGGGCTGCTATGGTGGCGAGGCTCTGGTGGCGCGATTCAAGAGGGAGAGGGAAGGAGAAAATGGAAGATTCTTGAGAGTGAAGAAAAATGGAGATGGGATGAGGTTAGAATGAGAGTCAAAATGGAAAAGATGAAAAGTCGAAAACCCTAAGTTGATATTAAATGAATGACTGGGATGAAAAAAAAAATGGAAGGTTGAGATTAAACATAGATATTTTATTATATATTTATAAGTAAAAAAAGTAAACATATAGGTATTTAAACACCGAGGCAAGGCTTGGAGAAGTCTAGGGGGGTTGCATGAGGCAAGGCTTGGTCTCTCAACTTCAACTTTTCAATTCAATCTAAGATGATTAGAACAAGACGGAAACACGCCTATTTATAGGCTAAGGTCCATGACCTTTACAAAGAAAATGCACAATTAAAATAATGTTAAATTCTATGGAAAGTAAAAATTAAACAGTCCTTTCATAATATTGAAATACTTCCTAAAATTAAAACAAAATTAAAAAATAATTATCACAAAGGTTTTTGAAAGAAAAAAGAAAACAATTTTCTAAATTGTTCTAAGAGCGGGCGCCCATGGGGTGGCGTCATCACGTGGAAGAGGTGCCTGATGGGGGCTGGCAGCAAGGGGGCACGAGGTTGGACGCGCCTGGGCGTAGGTGGTGGCGTGCGCTGGGTGAGGGCAGAAAAGACGTGCAGGGGCGCAGCACGGCAGGCAGGGAGTGCAGGTGGCATGGCATGGGCGTGCACATGTGGGGGTTGGCGGCCGCGCGCTGAGGGAGGTGCTGGCCTCTTGCAAACTAGCAGGAAGGGGGTGTGCGGGTGCTGGCAGCATGTGTGAGTGTTGGGGGGCATTACGAGGTTAGTGAGGTAGGGGGTTTGCGAGGTTGGCACCTGGTGTAGGAAGGCGTGCAGCAGGAGCGTGCGTGTTGGGGCATGCGTCTCATGCGTGTACGTGGGTGCTATCTTGCGTGGGTGTGCGATGGCGTGTGCGAGGCGCTTGGCGTGTCCTCAGCATGTCTTGAAGATGTGGCCACTCGCTTGGCCTGTCCTCCATTCCTCTCTTCCTTTTGACCTTCGTTGGTTGTTCATTGGCCTTTGACAAAATTTGTTGGAGTGTCCAATGAAGTCTTCTTCGTTTTGAATGTTTTTCTTCTAACTTGTCTTCTTTGTTGATGTAGGTTGAGTCTTGGAGCTTGGAGTCATTTATGATCACATCAGATTCTGTCTCTAAAACTTCTTTAAACGTTAGTTATTTTATTTATCTTCATTGGTAGATTCATTATTCACTATTTCATTCTTTTTATCAGACTTTGTATCATCCTTTAAAACATCAGAAGAATTATCAAAATTAGAAGGTCAATAAATGTTAATACCAGTTGAAGAAAAATTAAGATTCGAATTCATTACACGTATATATTACCATGCAACTCAATTATCATAATTAAAATGTCAATATATGTATATAGCAATTCAAGAATAACAAAACATGAAAGTCAATACATGTATATATCAATTCAAGATATAACAAAATAAAAAAGTCGATACATGTATATACCACTATACAACTTAAATATCATAAGTAGAATGTTAATACATGTATACCACAATAATTACCTATTCTTGAATTATCTTGAGACCCTTCCATTTTCCGTGAAACATAATAGTACTGAATCTAATTTGTAAATATTACTATTCAACGAAAAGATCTCTTGAGTTCTTACTTTTTTTTTTTTTAGGTTTACGATTTACCTCTTTACTTGATTTCATAGATACCTATAGAATTATGTTGAAAGCCCGTATTTGGCTTGGAGGGAGATCTTTCATATCTTTTGAGATCCACCCTACAATACGAGGTCAAACAGTTAAAATAAACGATTTTAGACAAAATAAATAGAATCTACATGAGAATTTAAAAAACAAACAATACATATACAAACTATTGCATCTATACATATTCTTCGCTTTCTAAGGTGATTATGCACGATTCTCTTGAACGTCCAGTTATACCAGCAACTTTTAATCTTTCACTTGATCGTCGTAAAGATGTTCCTCCTCTAACTTTTACCATATCTACAAATTCTATTTAGATTTTAATCTATTTAAATATAGTAATTTTGTTGAAATTAAACAGATATACTCATTAAATTTTGTTATAAGCAAAACACTCATGTGGTTAGTCCAACATTTGTATTTTTTTTAAATACACATAAAATTTAGGAAGACCAAAAATATATTTTTTTAAGTGAATGTTTTACTCAAAA